TCCCCATGCAAGAACGGTAGCCACCAGCGCGGGATGTAGAGGATCCCCCGCGGTAGATGATGTCGACGGATTCAGCTGAAGGCGATCACGGAAATGCGCGGGATTAAGGAGGGGGAGCCGAGTATGCACGATTTGGAAGAATACTTCCACGAGATCCAGTGTAAATCTGCGGGTGATGGAGTCAGATGGATAGCACAAACAAGCTGGATAAAGGGCTGGGGAACAAAGAATCGCCATATATGAAATCAAAAGATGGAGAGGTCCAGTTGATACAAAACCCCCCGATGTAGTTTAGATCCTCCCATATTGATGGGATGCGAGACGTTTAATGAATACATACTCAGCCTTGAAGTTATCGTCTTCGAGACGAAATGCGTGCGCGCCCCACACGTCGTAATGAGAAGAACTGCGGCCAGGTACAGGAGAAAATGGATGTTGATGCCTACGACAAAGATAACGAAGTAAGGTACTCAAATTCAAAAGAACTAGAGGAGGGTAAGTTACTCGGGTTGTTCAGGTGGCGCAAAAATATATGATAGGAGCTCTCGAGTTGGAGTGGCGAGGGTTATGTGAGGGCGGAAGCCATACTTGACTGCAAGGGGTAGATTTTGAGTATTTGGTATGGGCGGGGGTGCCATAGCAGCGCCATTATCCAAAATAGATGAGGAGCTAGGAAGGAAATAAGAGACGCCCATATATCGGTAATTGTAGACACCCACACCGTCAGGGCAGCCGGAGATGAACCACTGGCGAACATGCCGAGTTGTCAGCGGTGATCCAGTGTGATAACAAAAAAAGTAAAGCACCTTGGTGACGGTGGCTCTGCAAAGCGACCAAGGACAACGCTTGGCTTGCCAGAAGGATCAAGGACAGAGTACTTTGCAGCGGCCGCTGAGCTGTTGTTCCTGGGTCTCCGGCTGACGGACGCATTGCGCTTTTTCTCGCTGGTGGCTTGTTGAATGAGGTGCCTGCGGAAGGAGTCAACTTAAGCTCTTCGCGAAGAAGCCGATGACACAGACGTGCAGGGGTAATTCTTGGACAGACAATGCTGGATACGAGTGGTGAGGACCGGGGAGCGTGGAAAGTGAAGGTAGTTACCTGACACTGTAGGAAGATCGGGATGTAAAAGCGGTGGTTTCACGCGATGATGAGTTGGATATCACCTTGTCCTGGCCCGGCAAACGATTACACTTGACTTTCCTCGACCTGAGTGTGATATAACTATGAGACATGCCAAGGTGGTTCGACACTGGCGACGGACCTGCAGGCATCGCACGCAGTGTTTTGTTTGCGAGGAGGAGGAAGAGACTTGTTATATTCATTCATCTGGTTCTGCATGGCCTGTGATGGGTGAAGGTAGGCTGTTGTCGCGCGTTCGACGGTGAGCTCACGAGGGAATGTGGGGTAAACTGGAGATCGGACCTGGTTGCTGAGGGGGAGGGGAGTCGCCGACGATGCGACTCACGTCGTGCTGCATTGTTGTTCGAGAGGGCCGGAGTAAAAAGAGGGGAAGGGGGAAGAGAAGTCTGTTTTAGCATCGAGCCTGGATACTTATAAGCATGCGGCGGTCGAGGAAGACTAATAGAGCCAAGCAAATGTCCTAATCAGGCAGCCCTCCGAGCCCAAAGACTCGCGCGTCAGGCTCGGCACCGAAAATTTCCTACCAAGCAACGTCAACATGGTCAAGGTCTCAATTGTCGAAGAAAAGGACGTCGCCTCCTCCCCCTACGCCTCCGACGACGAGTCACGCCACTCATCCTCAGAATCCATCTCCTCTGTCGAATCAGACCTCTCTGTAGACGAGACCTTCTATGACCGTTTCTCTGCCCTCAAAGACATTATACCACCAACCACACGCCACTCCATCGCCTCACGCATCTCCAAGACCGCTTCGTTCCTCAAGCGCGGAGGAAAAATAGCAGGCAACGTCGTTTGGGTCATCACAACCTCTGCGTTGCTCGTTGCGCTGCCGCTGGCACTCAGTCTCGAGGACGAGGCCAAAATCGTGGCTCAAGAAAAAGAAATGCTGGAGCAGCAGCAGGGCGCTCAACAGGTGACTAATTTGATGGCTACCGGTGGCTCGTACTGACACATCACAAGATGCTCGCACCTTCCGCATTCCCCACACCAGGTTCCTCGGACCAAGCACAAAAGGGACTCGTCCCCCCAGGTTTCTAGACCTCATGATTCATCTCCTCGAGGGAACTACATAGTTCAGCAGCCGTACCTTCCGCACCCACGCCAGGTGTCCTAATTCCATCACACTTACGAGACCCTGCCACTTCGTCATCTCGAGGTTTTCTGTAATACTAGTATACAGATTCGTCCCTCCAATACGGATCCTTCTATTCTTGCTCAAACTATCTATGCTATCACTATGCATATCCGCGTTAATCATAAACCTCACCTCGCTCGCACTCCCAAAATCTCATCGTTCATCAAGAGCCAAGCCTTTCGGCGACAATAATCTGCTGTTTCCAAGTTGTATCTAAGAGTGATTTACACAGCTTGCCTACTCAGATGTCTAATCGTCAAGTCAACATTAAAATATCAGAATTTGTGGAGAGGACCTACAGTGACCGGTACCGGACGAGAAGGGAAGACAACCGGCCGGACAAAGTTATCCCTGTACAGACCATTAGCTCACACAGATGATACGTATCAATTCCTCCCGACTTACGCAGAACGGTAGCGGCGGAGGTAAGTGATTGCATGGTTCTCGATTTCCGAAGGCTCCGCCATGCCGACAGCAGCCCAATCACCCGGGACGTCAGCATCGTTGATAAAGCGTCTCACGACCTCATCCGGGCTGAGCGCAGGCCACCACACAGACTGTGCTGCTTTAGCAAGGAAGGAGGCAACTGCTTTTGGCAGGACAGGCGCGCCGCTGGGAGGGCGGAGAGTGACGGAGGCAACCATTTCCAGCAGATAGTTGTATGTCAGTGCGGACGGCCCAGGTAGGTTGAGTGTACCCGCGACTTGAGGAATTGACATGAGATTGGCAAGAGCTTGTGCCACGTCCATCACCTTTAAAAAGATTATATTCACGTCGGAACAGACAGCGGTGAGAAGCTTACATGCACCGGGCGTATTTTGGTCTCGCCATGGTTCAGCTTCCACCAAATGGGCCAAACTGTGAGGAAGTTTCGGCCAATAGTCTCTCAAATAAATGCTCGTTACATACCAGCCATGTTCGTGAGGAGCTTGTCTTCATATCCAAAGAGCGTTCCGGGCCGCACAATGGTGGCCGAGGGGAACGCGGCTTTGACACGCTCCTCACCTTCGGCCTTCGTTCGATAGAACTTCGACTCGGACTTCGCGTTCGCGTTAAGATGAGAAACATGGACAAGGCGTGAGACACCGCATTGAGCTGCGACGTTGGCTATTCTCTCGGCACCATCGACATGGACTGACTTGAAGTCGAAGTTTCTAGTTGTCCAATATGTCAGAGAGGAAATTTCAGCAGAATGAAAAGATACGGACTTCGTTTCAAAGTCCCGACCTGCGAGATTGTAGACAATATCCGAATGCCTGACACACTCTGCAATCTGGTCTTCGCTTCGGATGTCCCATTCCTACGACCAAAATTAGTTCCGCACAAAAGTGCAACATGACACGGGTTCACCATTCGGACGATCTGTCCCAAATCACCCATGGGCTTGAAATGGCGCGCCTCATCTTCGTCACGGTAAGGAATAATAACTTGTGTGCCCTGCTTGGCTACAGACGGTGTGTCGGATGAGACATGTGTCGTGTTGGACACCGAATAAATCAACTCACCCAACTTCGATACGAGATACCTCCCCAAGAACCCAGTGCATCCGAACACCGTCACGACATGGCCACTGACACCGCTGTACCCAGGAATACCCTTCGATACAACCGGCTTCTGCCCAGGTAGTGTAACGAGGTCGTGGTATGCACGCTGGAGCACAGCAACAAACGATTATTCAAATCGAATATACAATTAAATCTCGAACCATATTTACCTTTCCAGAGGCCTTGAGAGCACGCTGAATACGCAAGAGATTGGGGGTTGAGGCAATCATGCCCGTAAATGCGCCCTACTCGGGGTGTTGAGAGTTCGGTGGATGGCGGGAACAGCGGTCCCGTGGTTGGCGCCCGTGGAAAAATTTGGCGCAACAAACTCAGTTGAGTGCTTCACCTTCACTTGCAGTGTCCACTATAACTCAGTTGCTCGGTCACTCCCTTGATACTCTAGAGCTATGGTTCAAGGAAAAACTAAAGGTCTTTCAGCTAAAGCTGGCTCTTCCCGGCACGCCAAGAAAGCTGCTGCGAACCCGAAAAAAGGCCAACGGCACATTGCGCCCAAGAAACCTGATCTCCTGAAGCAAGCTGCCATGAAGAGGGTGCGAAGTATCGCTATCTCATACTAGGAGCTCTCGTGCTCATTTCTGAAACGTTATAGGATCTTACGGCTAAGATCAACAAATCCATCGAGTCACAAATGGTTCAGGCAGCCTCGGCCGGAAAGTTGACAATCATGAAGAACGTTAACGCTGATTCCGCGTGAGTCACTGAAAGCTTCTGCTGCATGGCTCTTGGCTTCCTTGCGTTCATTCGAGTCATAATTAATCATATCCCCTCAGATCAACCTCGAAAGGGAAAGGTAAAGCTTGATCGTGGAGATGGAGACCATTGAGACCGTAGTAAGTATCTCATAATGTGGTTGGATCGACGACGACTAATGCGAAGAAAGCCTATATTGGCATACCTTTGAAGTATACCGCCAACAACTTGTTTTCGGTGGACAGGATTATCTCTGTTCACTAAATCATGGTGGCGCGACAACATGTGGCGTCGATACGAGATTGACGTAGAGATGGGACGATGAGGGACAGTTGTATGGGCACGTAGTGACAGCCCATTGGGCTATTCACAATGATAACTTGTGTTCCTCGATTTGTCTATTGGTATCCTGGACTTCGGCGACTCAAATCTGAGACTGCTCAGAAGGGGTCCTCCATGAAACAAAATATGGCCGCCTGGCGAAATGGCATCGCGTCTGACTACGACTGGATGTTATCAGGAGATTGCAGGTTCGACCCCTGCGGTGGTCATTTTGCAGTCTTTCTGGGATCCTCAGCAAGAGGACGGGATGGTAGGGCTCGATTGGAAGTGTTATCATATGGCCGCCTGGCGAAATGGCATCGCGTCTGACTACGATTCAATGTTATCAGGAGATTGCAGGTTCGACCCCTGCGGTGGTCATTTTTGGTCTTTTCGTTCAAGTGCCGAAGGCAAGTACGAATCATACTTCGATCACACAGCCGATCGCCATTCTACATTTTACCCACTACTCTGGTTCAAG